GTTAAAGTTGTTTTAAGAAAAAGGTCACAATATTATCAGTGTGTTCATATTCTTTACAAATTGAGTTCTGCTAATATATAGAATGCTCTAAAAATTAATGTTCTATAAGCCAACTTCCAGGCTCATATTTATATTTAATAACTCATTCTTTTTCAGAGGAGAGGGACCACTGAAAACTTCCCAGGACTTAATTCACTTCCTAGAGGTATGTTTTATTTTCACAAGAACTCAGAGAAAAAAGATCCTGTAGGATAAGAGGGGAAAGGTAACTGAGGGTGGCTGGGAAGATGTGTGTAAGGTGCCATTTGAGTAGGTGCATTGTTGAGGTGACAGAAGGAAGGGTGAGCAGGGTCAGGGTATTTCAGAGGCAGAACAGGTGTGATGGTAGTTACACTATGAACCTTGCAGAGTCGGGAGGCCTGTAGATGAGGTGCTGAGCCATAGTGGGGTGGAAGGCAGGGCATCTCCACAGAACCCTAATGTTCTTTATTTGAAAGAGTGATGGTGCTGAGCCCACTCAGCCTTGGGAAGCAGTGGAATGATCTGATGTTCTAAGGCTTTGACTCAGCTAACACTATAGTTGCTAATGACATTGACTGAGGTGCGGTACAGCAAGGGAGGGGATTAGGTTTATAGAGTGGAAGTCAAGCATTGGGCTTTACCCATAATGCAAAGGCTAGTGTCAGGAATGCACAGAGATTTGGGAGTTAGCAGCTTTCCTGTGCTTTTATAATGGCTAACATTCTGTCAAACAGCAACAGCAGGGAAGCTGTGAGAACTGAGAGAATGTGGAATGATGAGGGATGAGGGGAAGAGAATTGTCAAGTGCTGGCCAAAGCTAAGGGAAAGCCAGCTGCCTTCCCTTTCAGGGATAGGGAAGGTTCAGAAGGCTATTTCACCTTGAGACCTTGTTAACTGCCAATGGCAAGCTGATGACTACCAGGTCAAAGTTCATCCCTCCACCCATACTCTTGATCTAGCTTACTACCAGGACTAGTTTTCCTTCTAAATCACATGTGTGTGCATCCGTGTGTGTGTGTGTGTGTGTGTGTGTGTGTGTGTGTGTGTGTGTGTATGTGACCTGAGAGATCAGAACAGGCTGTGTCCCTGGAGACTCCCTGACTCCCTGGAGCTGAAATTACAGGTGGTTGGGGTTGTGTGGCTCTGTGAGTTGAATTTGGGTTCTCTGAAAGGACAGTGAGTACTCTTGCTATCCCAGCCAAGCCTTGTCTGTAACCCCTGCTGTGGCGTTTTAAGGGGTTTTATGTGTTCTACACTTTAATGTGGCCTGACTGTCCCTTGCTCTTGTCTGGCCATGGTTTTCACTCCTTATAAAATGCAAGGTGAACAGACAAAAATCAAAATTACAATAAAATATAACTGTCTGATTGGCCCTCTCACAAAGCAGGTGTAGAATGTGTCTGGAGGTGAATTCAGTCATGTTAGGTGGAAACAGCAGAATTCCAGCCTGACCTCATTCCCCAAGATTCATGACTCTTTCATACCCGAGTATGAAAAAGTAATAATGTCTTGTTTGACAATTTTATACATGTGGATTATACACTTTGATGTTATTCTCTCCCTCTGGAACTTGCTTTTTCTTCTCATGTCATGGCCTTCCTAGACTCATGTCTCTTTTATTTTTTATAACCTACTGTTTAACTGGGCTTGCTTACATGTATACAGTTGTGTGATTATTTACTGAATCAAGTTACCAGTGGCTACATGCTGAAGAAAACTGGCTCCTCTCTGTAACTGGAGATTTTTGAAGTGATCTGGGGATGCTGTCAGAAAGGAATAAGTAATGTATGAGCCTGTGGCTCCCAGGGCCATTTGACTCTACAGAATAACTGGAGGTCTTTAGGTATAGAGGAGCCTCTCTGGGGATTTTGTCTTAGGTCTGATTAGGAAAATTTCTGATTCTAGCTAAACTCTTATGTTTCCTGTGATACAATGAGAATCTTCTGGAGCTCTGAGGCTCATTCTTCATGTCTGGGTTATTTTTTTTCAACTGCATGAAAGAATTGAGAATATTTGTTTATCAACTGTCCAAGAGACACTGATCTAAAATAGTGATGTTTCCTTCTCTCCCAGGTTTTTTCTGCAGAGGGATTAAAGCTTACTTCAAGTGTACAGTCATTTTCCAAACAGGTAACGCATGTCTCTGTCCAGTGCTAGTGATTTTAAATGTCCACATTGGAAGCATTTTACTAATACATAAAGGTATAAAGGATATAGGCTAGGAGCAAATTTAGAGGACATTCCGTTATATTATCCTGTTCTTTTGTTGTTCTGCTATACTGTGTTATTTTTGTGTGATTATAAATATTCCTTGGGGTTGGAATGGATCTAGCCCAGTGGAAGACCTTGTCTAGAATGCACAAAGACAAAATGTCATAATATTCATGGCTTGTGGAAATGAAGCCATTCTATGAAATTCTTATTTTTATATTAAAAAAAACAACCAAGCACTGAGGGAAGAAAAGCTATAGGTTGGATGTGGTATAACACTCAGAAGACTAAAACAGGTGGGTCTCTATGTGTTTGAGGCCTACCTGGTTGATAGATAGATAGATAGATAGATAGATAGATAGATAGATAGATCGAGTACCAGGTAAGCCAGGGCTATGTGTGAGGTGCTTTCTTTGAAAAAAAAAATATAAAAAGATAGAGCTTTGTTGAGATTGTAATAATTTCCTAAATTCTATTTCAGCTAAAAGATGATGACAAACTTATGCTTCTCCTGGAAATAAACAAACTAATTCCTCTATGCCACCAGCTTCAGACAATAACTAAGACATCTTTGCAGAGTAAAGTGTTTGTAAAGGTAAAGGAGAGGGTGGGTTATCTGGGGGAAATACTTGAGAATGTTTCCTGTCTCTGCCAGTTTAGCTCCAGCCTTTGTGCTCAAGTGCACAGAGTCTGTTTCCTTATTTCATGCTTGTCTGAAAGCAACTGCTCTGTGACTGACCCCAGAGAGCAGCAGGTCACCAACTATTCAATTTGAGGCTGCAGATGAGTTCCTAGCACTGAGCGGCTACTTCTGAGCCCTTCCCCTGCCATCTTCCCCTCACCATGTCATAAATGCCTTGGAGTCGAGGCTCCTGTAATATAGCGGAGGAATTTGGGCAGAGTGTAAACAACTGCAGATTACGGGATGCACTGTCAGTGTGTGGAGGGTTTTGAGAAGCTTATGCATAGCCTGAAGTAGAACAGTGTTGTTCCATCGTCTTTTCCGGGGTTCTGTGAGATAGGCATGAGACCAGGCAGCCAGCGGTATCCTCCCTCTGGAACCTCAAGTCCCCACAGTACCCTGATCTGTACTTCTCAGGACCTTAGCTCTCCATGATGGAGAAACTTGCTGATATAGATGATAATGGTTTGGGAAGTCCTGCTGTTAGAATGACACGCATGCTCTGTCCGTAGGTTGACAAGTGTATTACAAAGATAAGATCCATGATGACGCTTGTGGTCCAGCTCCTCTCACTTTGCTATAAGCTACTGAAGAAGGTGAGATTGTTTTTCTGTATTCAGCTTTATTAACTTAAAGTTAATAAAAGTACACACTTCACTTTACGGCTTGTTTTCAGAGCACAGCAGAAGCTAATTGTCTTAACTCTTCCCTGCAGATGGAAAATAACAGATGGGTCTCAGTGACAAAGAAAGATACTGTGGATGGTCAAACCTGAGCAGCCTGGGGTTCATCTCTGGAATACCATGTGGCACAGCTGACATTTTAAAAAGCAAATAATCCTTTGTACTTTCATAAGTTCATCAGTCTTTTAAAGAGAATGCTGAAATTTTTCTTGTTTCTGATCTTCAGATTAGACAGTCGTGTTGCTATGGTGGTTGCTAAGATTCTAACGGCAGTGCAATTTGAAAACAAACACTGTGCTCAGGGTGTTCTTCAGCACACACCAAATATCCCAACTGTCTTAATGGCGGTTGAATCCCAAAGAAGCAATTGCAAATGCACACTCCCCTTTGGCTTCCTTAACTATTTTTAAAGCTGATTATCTACAACACTAATTTCAGCAGAAAATAATACAGTGGCCTTGTTGAATGTGGAGTTTTTCTTAGGCCTGTGGACTCTTCTTCAGTTCTTGTCGAAGCAGGATAAGGGCCTGTCCCCCAGTGCCTGGTCCCAGATCACTCCTGCTAGCACCATTGCTTCTAGTAAGTATCTCACTGGATAAGGCTGTTAGGCTGCATCTGTTCCTTCCCTATTTCTGGAAGGAAAGCCCCAGGAGTCACTTCAATGAACCCTGGAGCAACTTCAGAAGAGGAGATGGTTTTTCATTTTAGCTGTGGTACACATAGCTGACCAGGCAGTCCTGAATAATGGATGGAATCCTCAGTATTTCTTACTGGTTTCAAACACTTTTGAACTACCCTTCTCAGTATTGATAAAATGACAGTTGCAGAAGACAGAACATTGGAACCAAGAGGCTGTTTAGATTGCAGATACATGTACACTGTATTTTATGTATGTGGAATTGGAATGCTCATCATAAAATAAATATTTTTAGTCTTTTTAACATTAGGGTTTAAACGTCTTCTTGGGCTGGGGAAATGACTCTGCTGGTAACCTGTTTGCCTTATAAGCTGTGTCATAAAGCAAGGAAAAGGTTGCCCAGGAGATCACCCAGCTGACCTGCTGTAACTATCAGAACAAGGGCTGAGAGAGGGAGCACGTGCAGTATCAGCGTGTGCTATATAGAAATCTCACACCTTTAGCTACCATCACAGATGCCAACATAACCAGTCTTTCAAAAACATAATCTTGCAGGCAGCTGTTATAGGGAAAGACTGAATGGAACCATTTTCAGTGAAATAGACAGGATTGTTACCAGCACGTGTGAGTGAAAATTCTGATTTCTTTTTAAACTGAGAAGCAGAATGCTAACTTCACTGGATTCTCAGCGTTATACTTTAGTAATATAGCAGATCCCTCAACAAAACTGTTAAGGACCATCAGATATGTGGCAACAACACCATGATCTTTGACAACAAAATAGGGTTTATTAATTAGTATTAAACATCATGTGATAATGTAGACTTCAATAAAAATTGAATGTTCAAACTGAATTCATACTGACTGGCTTAATTTTGATCCAGTTTGGAGGCAGGCATACTGACCAGTGACAAAATTACAAAGTACCATTCCAACCTGTATTGTTTTACGCGCTGCATTTGAAAGTATTTCTAGCGTGGTTTTTAGCCTGTGAAGCAAGCATTCTCTTAACTTGAAATAAAATGAGCGAAGAAAGATACAACCTGTGAAACTGATATGGACTCACAGCACGAGTCTCCGAGAATCCTTTCTGCTACTTACAATGACGATCTGTTACTGTGTGCCTTGTTTCCAGTCTAGCATGTTCCCTGTAGATGGCATAATTAAGGGACAGTCATTCTGACCCTCAGGTTATAAGAAGTGTGTCTTATGAACTAAAAGTATTAAAAAAATTTTTTTCCCTACAAATAATTGCAAAATACCTTTACACGTCTGAAAATGGAGTATCATTGCCAAGATGTGAGGAAACAGGTCACAGACATCACCAGCTCATGAGGACAGAGGAGCTTACAGATCAGATTCTCCATCTGTGAGGACATTTAAGGGAAACTCAGTTTTGTTCCCTCCTACTTACAGGGAGCTACTTCTTTCTTCTCAGTAAACCTTGCTTGGCTACACTTAAAATTATTTCATTAAAAACAGGGCAAACACAGTTATTACATATTGCATCCTTAAAAAAACCTTCAAGATTTAAAGTCTTTCTTTTAAATTCAGTGTAAACGTCTAATTTAAAGCCAGAACTTCATATGTTTTTTTTTTTTAGCTTTGTAATGTAAAATCTTGTTCTGCTCTAATACATCTATACCTAGGGATGACAGACTCAAGTACCTTCATTACTACAAATTAGCTGTCACCAAAATGTGCAAGATGGAGTCACTACCATGTATGTGCAGGAGCCAGATTGACACGGCAGCATGATTCTTCATGCTGGAAGAGCCCTTGTATGCTTTCAAAGCTTTTCTATGTAAAGTGGAAGGCAGACTCCACATCCCTGCCTCTCCCCAGCAACCTAGAGGGAAAGCCACAGCGGAAAGGGCGAAGCTAGGCTTTTTCATTTCACTTTGAAGCAGATTTGGGAAGGACAGACAGTCCATTTTGTTTTTCCAAAAATATCACACTGTTAAAATTATACTTGAAGTGAGGGGCTGGAGAGATGGCTCAAAGGCTGACAACACTGGCTGTTCTTCCAGAGGATCTGGGTTTACTTCCAAGCACCTACATGGTGACTCACAACCATCTATAACTCCAGTTCCAGGGAGTCTGATGTTTTCTCTTGGCATCTATAGGTGTTCTATGCATGTAATACACATGCATACATGCAGGAAAACATACAGATAAAAAGTCTTTTTTAAAAAGTTGAGGCAGAAGTATTAAGTGTGCCACAGCATTCAAGCACAGTTTATTAACAGACAGTTTCCCTGGTTACAGGAATGTAAAACCTCAAAATATTTCTCAAGACCTTTGTGTTTTTTTAATCAGAAAAGCATTCCTTATTTGCCATTTGTTAGGGTAGCAAGAGAGGAACAGAGTGAGGCTGGAGAAATGGCTCAGTCAGTGAAGCGTTTGCCTCCTGCTGTAGACTGAAGGAAAGATGACTCCCCCACCCCCATGGTCTCAAGTATTTGAATACTTGGTCTCTAGCTAGTGGCGCTGCTGAAGGATGTTGTGAACTTTTAAGATACAGAGTTGCTGGAGGAGGCATGTCACTGGGGACAGGCTTTGTGTTTACAACCTTTGTCCACTTCACTGTGTGCTTCCAGTGTGTGCTGTGATGTGGTTGTTCAGCTTCTTGTGCCTGCTATCATTAGCATCTAATCCCCAGAGACTGGAAGCCAAAAGAAATTGAGTCGCTTTTGGTCATGGTGCTTTATCCCAGCAACAGATAGGCAACTAATACAGAAGCTCCTACCAAGTGCGGTTGTTGCTGCGAAAAAATGTAACCATGTTATTGTTGTTTCTTTTTTGAAATGTGGAACTCTGGAACTTTGGACCAGAAAGATGGCTGAATGCTGAGAGCACCATGAAACAGTATTTGCTGTTTTGAACCTAGAAGACTACTGCTATGAGTAACATAGACAGTAGAGGCCTGGCTCCTGGGGTTTTAGAGGGAAACAGTCTCTATTATTTATGTGACCATTTATGTGACCTTTTGACAAAGAATCTGGCTCCCTTCTATCCAAGTCCTAAGGCTTGGCATGAAGCTGAATTAAAAAGTAATGGACTGATATCTCTGGCATTAGCTATTTCAACACAGTATAACATTGATCAATGAAAACAAGCATGTTGGGGGAAAATACCAAATGTACAGCTTGGAGAAAAGAGCACAGAGAAGCTTAATATTGACTTAGTTAAGAACACTGTTCTTTCAGCGGTCCTGAGTTCAATTCCCAGCAACCATATGATGGCTCACGACTATCTGGAAAGGGATCTGATGCCCTCTTCTAGCATGCAGGTGTACATGCAGATAGAGTACCCATACATTAAAAATAAAAAAGCTCCTCCTAGTGGTGCAGATAAGGAAGAGATGGCCTGCTGACCAGCTCAGCTAGCACTCAGGCCCAGGACTAGGGCTCTGAATTGGCCCACCTCAAAATCTCTTCCATCTGTGAAAGGGCCAGTCCTGCTGTTCCAAAGCTGCAGGATCTCCTTAACACAGGGCAACAACAGAATAACTGGGAGGAATCCTGATGAGGATGCAATACTGATGATGTCAGAGAAGCCAGAGATCTTGAACCAGACCAACCATTCACTGCAATGACCATTTGCAAGTGAGGATGTATAGACAGAGGTATAGACTGTGGGACATACTCTGAAATACTACTTTCTAAGCTTCGTTGTGTGTGTGTGTGTGTGTGTTTTATTAGGTTGCAAGGGCAAAGGGCTAATATGAGGGGACAAGGAGATGAGGGGCTGGGGTGCACGATGTGAAACTCAGAGTTAAGAGTCTCTTGCTCAACACTGGGACAGCGGGAGTTGGTCAAGGTGAGAATCCTTTCAGATAAACTTCTACTCTGTGAAAGAAGAACCTGGCTTTTTGCTAGGAGAAAGCAATACCATATAAGAACTGCTGTGAATGTGATCAAAGGCAATGAAAGCCAACAGTCTAATTTTCAAATATTTTCTACATAGTACTAGCTTTGCAGGCATAAAAGATGCAAGAATGAAAAGTCAGGATTCTTTCTGGCTTCAGAAAGTCACCGAGGCCAGGAAACATGTGACAGAGATGGAGTTTCTGCACGAAGGCCATGAGAGGCCACTGTGAAGCTGTCAAGGTAAAACTTGGGTTGTAAACTGGGCGGTGGTGGCGCACACCTTTAATCCCAGCACTTGGGAGGCAGAGGCAGGCAGATTTCTGAGTTTGAGGCCAGCCTGGTCTACAGAGTGAGTTCCAGGACAGCCAGGGCTATACAGAGAAACCCTGTCTCAAAAAACCAAAAACAAACAAACAAACAAAAAACAAAAAAAAACTTGGGTTGTGGCACAAATCCCAAGATACTGGAAAAAAAAGTTGTGAGACATCTGCCAGGGAAGAGTTGCACAGCGAGGAACCATCAGAGAATGATGTTACAGGCAGCAGAGCTGGTGGGTCAGAGGCATCTTAGAAACTAAACCCTTAGATAGTGGATATGGAGCTGCAGGGTTTAGCTTTTATCATGCTGGTTTTATTCTTCGGTCCAGTATCTCATCACTATGCCATCATCCCTTCCTTCTGGAATGGGAATGTATATTCTGTGACATTGTATGTTAGAAGTATGTAACTGGCTTTCTGATTTACAGGGCAGACAAGAGATTGCACTGAGTCTCAGAAGAGTCCTTGGAACAGTGTTAAGACTGTTAACAACTATGAGAATGTTTGATATTGGACTAACTACATTTCGCATGACCTAACTATGGGCCTACAGGCATCCTGGGGAGAATATTGTAGACTGAATGAAAAATGACCCCTCCCATAGACTTAGGTGTTTGAGCCCTTGGTCCCCAGTCAGTGGTACTATTTTGGGGAGGTTATGGAACTTTTAGGACAAGAAGTCTTGCTGGGGAATTTATCACCAGGGGCAGTTTATAACCACATTCTCCTTCCAGTTCACTCTGCTCTTGGTGTGTGGTAGAGATGCAATCTCTTAGTATCCTGCTCTGGCTTCCATGCCTTCCCACTATTGTGGTCATCCAGTCTCTGGAATTAATAAACCCAGATAAACTCTTTTTGAAGTTGCTTTTGGTTGTGGTATTTTATCACAGCAACTGAACAGTAACTAATTCACCTTGAAAGCACAAAGCCCAGAGTTTGGGTTTCCAGGCCCATATAAAGCTAGGTATGGTAGTGTGGACTTGTAATACCAGCCTTGGAAGACGAGAGGCAGAGGACACAGATACTTCCCTGGAAGTACATGAGGTATCTGGCAAAGTTCCAAGCCAAAGAGAAACTGTCCTTAACAAAGGTAAAAAGGCACTTGAAGCTGTTTTCTGATGTATATGCAAGCAAACACCCACAAGTGTACTTCCCAGCACACAAAGCAAGTGCCTGGGCAAGGCAGATCTGAGAGGCTGGGTACAAATGGGGACCAAGGCTTGTGATGTTAAGACAAAGGAGGGAAATTAGGTTAGGTGGAAGGTGAAGCTTCTCCCACGGCTGGGCGGCTGTGAGGAACACTTCATACACACTGGCTGTCTTCAGTGCACTGATGGTTTAGGCCAGGTAGGGTGAGAATCCTGTATTGCCTCCATAAAAAGGCTTAGGACGCAGTGGTTGTGGCATTAGTGCGTTTTACCACGACTTCTTCATACTGTTGCTGTGTCAACAACCCTTCTGTTACACTTTTACTTTCTTCAAACTTGGGTAATACAACTGCAATGTAGCCTTCAGTGGATGGCTGGGGAAGAAAACAGAACCCTTAGTAAAGCCCGATGACTTCTAAGAGGCATGTGGGTGGGCTGCACTTTCCCGACTCTTCTTTACCTTTTCTTGAAGAAGAGATGGCTGATGGAGAATGTTCTCGTTCACTTCCATCAATCGACCTCTAACACAGCTGTTTAAAAAAAAAAAAAAAAGAATTTTTAGGAAAAAAAAAGTTTCGCCAGTAATTTTCCCTTCAGTGTACACAGGCATTTGACATTAAAGCACTAAGTCTCCACGGGATGGCTACGACATGCTTACCTAGATATGGTATATTCTTCTCCATCAGAGCAGTAAATCTTACACAGAGGTGCAAGCTCTGTTAGAAACTGTGCCCCCTGGGTAACGAGAAGAAAAAAAAAAAATTAAAAAAAATTGTGCATTTCCATTTTCCTCTAATAGGTAGCCCTCACCATTAAAACAGGATCTAGTCTTGGAATTTGTGTTTTACAGCAGAATGATTTAAGTACATAAAACCATTATTCATGTACTTCAACGTGATAACTTACTAATAATGGGTAGTTTAGTTACAGATGAATGTGTGTTTGTTTTAATCACAAATGAGAAATCTATATATGGACAAGTATAAAGATTTCAATCTATAGGATAATTCATTGCAAGTAGTATTGTAAGACTCATTTATGACATATGCCAGCAATACCCTACAAACTTAGCTCCATTAAGACCCCTATCTTCTGCTGAGTGTGGTGCTTTTGCTTTAATCTCTCTGCTCAAAAGACAAAGTCAGGTGAATCTTTGAGTTTGAAGCTCGCCTGGTTTCCACGTTGATGTCCAGGCTAGTCAGGGATACAGTGAAACCCTATCTCAAAAACCACAATGACAACAAACTAAAAATACTGAAACGATTCTTATCTTTTATATTAGAAGTTAATAGGTAAAGAAACTTTACATGGTCAACTGCTAAGACTTTTTGAATAAGTAATATTTTTATAACTAAAAAACAAAACTCGTGGGCTGAAGAACTAGCTCAGAAGGTAAGACTATTTCCTGTTCTTAAAAAGGACCCAGGTTCAGTTCCCAGTACCCACATGGTAGCTCACAACTGCCTGTAACTAGTTCTAGGGGATTTGACAAGTTGCCCTCACCTCTGCAGGCTTCCGGTACACATGTGTCACAGACACATACACATAAATAAAAATGAAAAAAATGTTTAACTAAACCCCAGAAAACTAACCAAAACGCATACCCTTTAACTACTAGTACCACATTGTAACATACTTCCTGACAGCATGTATGGTCATTGTTTCAGATGCTCTGGGAGATGGGTAAATCAAGGGTACTTTGACAAATATCTCTAAGCAGGCAAGTGAGAGTGTGTTTCATGCACTGCTCTCTTTTTAAGAATTTAAGAACATGGGCAGCTGAAGGCAAGATTCTTTTTTTATTTTTGAGGTTTTTGTTATGCAGCCTTACCCAGCCTGGGACTCACTATATAGCCCCATACTTGCTACCTCAACCACCCAAGAGATGGGATTACAGGCAAAGGTCAACGCTCATCTTCCATCTCATCCCCTGAGGATAAGAAGAATGGGAACACAGAACCTTTGATACTATACTTCTTGATACACTTTGGGGGTGGGGGGGAGAGTGTTTTTACTGAGAACTTATGTTGAACTGCTAGAAAAAGTCTTAGGGCTGACTGGATCCATCAGAGCATGAGTACAGAAAAAATCTCAGTAGAAAAGAAAAATCACAGAATTACAGAAACATACCCGCTTAAATTTCCCAGAAACTTTGTTCTCAAGTCTGCTACAGTTGTTACTGATCTGATAGGAAATGCTTTGAATGGTTTTGCCACTTTGAAGAACGGGATGAGATCCTGCCAGTGTGATGACACATATTCTACAAGGAGAAAAACAGTCAACCCTGTGTCATGGCATGGCCAGTATTCCTGCTGAGAGAGGCCTATCCAAACTGACCTTCATTCAGTCCAATTATCTCTTTCTCTTTTGCTGTGACTGGACCCTAAGTGTAGCATGGGGAGCGTAATCACACAGGAGGAGAAAACAGAGTTGAATCTCATTCCCCGGAAAGGGAACAGTACCACAAGTCTCTAGTAAGCCTGGGTAGCAGAGAAGCAAGGCAAGATTGTGTACACAGAGCCTCCACAAGGAGCCATTCCATAGGTCCGGACGTACAGTGGTTGGCGCAGGTTGGCCAAGCAGTATATGACTGAACAAGACTTGTTCCTCCCATCACAATTCTATAATACCATTTCAACACCGTAGAAGATTTCATGAATGCTCATACCCAAGCCAAGACCACACCAGGCTAACTACCAGAATGAGATTGTTGATAATTTAAAATGCCTGGTTTGCTTACCGGTTGGAGTGCTGGAGTATACAGTGGTCCTCGCAGGGTTTTCCTTTAACATCTAGAGGAATAAACGAGTTGCTGGTTGTTGAATTGGTATTTACTATTACCATGTGATTACCTTCTTTGGTTCACGGCTATAGTTCATTATGAAGCTGATCACAGTGGTCAAGGTAAATAAAGGTTAGGAAGTATTTTAAGTGGCCTAATTCAGATAGGATCCTTTATTCAATGTTAAGGCAGGAAAGGTTATTAACTCCTCCATCTTGTCACTTCCCTGAATTAAAAAGGCTCAAGCAGAGGCTAGAGGAGGCTCCCCAAAGTTGGTATCGGTATTTTCTTGGCACAAAGAACACCAGCGAAGCCTACTTCAAAACGTCCAGTGGACGATATGCACGGTTTCTTCTTAACATTAGATAGTAGTTCCTTAACATCTCTTAATGTTTTCTCCATGCCTAAGGTTTCTTCCCGACTCGGCGTAGGATTGATCCCTCCAAGCACACCAACACTTCGCAGTGTGTGTGGAAGTCCAGATAGACTAACGCGGAGTCCCTTAGTTTAGTTAACGTCCTTTCCTGCAAACAACCCACATGTGGCACTGCGCTTCCCATGTCGGAATGCGCCTATTTTAGTTCTCCACCGGTGCAAACCAGTATTCCTGGGACTAGAAAGCTCAAGGAAGAGCACGGGTGGCTTACAATAGCGTTGCAGAAGTGCCTGCCGCATCCACCCTGCGCGGTAGAGCAGAGCTCACCACCATTCCGCACTTACCCGCTTTATACCAGCGAGTGTAGTATCGATCCACAAGGGAGGGTGGCGGGGATTCGGTAGCTATGACTACCTCTGGTGGCGCTAGCCTGGCTTCTGGGCAGCGGAGCTCTTCCATACTGCTGGTTACTTCCGGTGAATGGTAGCGTGGTAGCGTCTAGCGCACGCGCGCGCGCCTCCCAAGCCCTTGGCCAACTCCCTCCCCCAACCCCGTCACCTGAGCTCCTGGCCAAAGCCCAACTGCGGGGCAAAGAGAACTAGGCGTCAAAAGGCTGAGGGACAGCAGACAGCAAAGTCCTTCTGCCTCTATCAGGTTAGGGTCCCCGCCACCACAGTCACTCCCAGAGCGACTGAGGAGGTGCGTCTGGCCACACCCACCCGGTGACGTCAGTCAGCGCGCCCCGCGTGTGACGCCACGTCTGCGCCGCCTTTCTTGTGCTACCTGGCGGGTTTCGCCCATCAGTGGATCGCGTCTCTTGTTCCCCGCGTGCATTGGCGGTTCCCTTCCAAATCCAGTGCGTCGTGAAGGCTCGGAGCCGTCGTGAGGGCGTCGTAGGTGAGCATTCGCCTGTCCCAGTCCGAGCCGCTGAGTGCGGCCTGGTCTTGCCATGCAGGACTGTTTTGGTGCAGGGGAGATGCACGCGCTTCTGCCTGCGCGCGCCGGCCGGGCGGCATGGACCTCTTCTTTCCTCGATCGGATGTTTTGTGTCCACTTTTCCCCCCGGGACCATCGTGGGGCGCTGCGGGACACAGCTACGGGGGATGAGGGTCGGGTCCCCGAATTGCCAGTTTCCTTGTAGTGTGTAAATAAAATCTCTACCAGCTAATTGGTTAGCTCGTCGTGGGGGATGATAGGTAATAGAGGCCTCCGTGCTGTGCTGCGCCGCGGGTCCTTTCACGCATTTGGGACCTTTCTATGGAGTAGTGTATCTCGTGCTTCCCCAGGTGGTGTACCTAAGCTGGAATTTCTGTGATGGCAGTGATTGTGTAATCTTTTGTCTTAGGGCCTACCATTTGGCAAGTTTTGATGTAAGTCACATAACGGATCTTAGGTATTGTGTAAAGGATTCGTTTGTATATTGAGAACCATGATATATAACCAGCGAATACCTCGATGTGTAAGTGAAAGAAAAAGAGGCAAAGGCAAATTTTAGCTTGTGGAAACAAAGACGACAGTACGTCCCAAGCCAGGATGAGCTATTATTTGATAAGAGATCAGCAGGTTGTCTGTTTTTTAGGTTGTGTCTCATGTGCTTGTAAGGGTCAGCTTATGATAATATCAGGAGATTTTGAGTTTAATGTTCAGTTTGAACTTGTTCAGTTACAACGAGGTATATAGGTCTATCTAATCTTCCCTTTAGTGAGCTACCTAGTCTGAAGGTAGGGGAGCAAGGGGAGAAAACGGCTCAATGGTCAGACTTTTGGGACATGATCAGAGTTGTATGAAACAACCTTTTAGCACGTGTGGGTGGAACCAAAAGAGTTGTAGTTGGAGGTGCCAAAGGAAGGCTATTAGCAGATTGTGATCCTACAAGCATTTGGAAGATAATCTTTTCCTAACTTTGAAAGCATTGAGAAACACAGGGCTATGTAACTCCAAAAAGTTAAATGAGTGAGGAGTATCGGAATGACAGTTTAGAGAAGTTTCAGTTTTCATGCTAAAAGAATTGGGGCATTAGAGAGATTAATGAGTTTACCTTTTTTCATGTGCATAAAGTGGCCAAGGAGGCCAGAAGAGGACTTGGGATTCCCTGGAGCTGGAGTTATAGATAGTTGTTAGCTGCTGTGTAGGTTTTGGGAACTGAACTCAGGTCCTCTGGAAGAGCAGCTAGTACTCATTAACTTCTCAGCCATCTTTCCAGACCTGAACTTAGCCATTCTTTTTAAAACTCAGATTGCTTTGCTGCATTTTATCAGTTAGGGTCCAGTCAGAAAAGTAGAGGCCACACAGTATTCCAGCAGGATTTATTATGAAGAATTACTTAAACTGCTATAGGAGGAAGGAAAAGAAAAGGTGAAAAACAAGTAATTTAGAAGGCAAGCTGAAGGAAGCGGTTCCCATGGGTAGGGAGCATCACTAGGGCAGATGTTGGCATCATCAGGACCTAACACCTCATAGAAAGGCCATGTAACCCCGGGACTCAGACTCTGAATTGATGCTAAGAAACTCAGGATGAAGGTGTTTGCAACCCTATAGGAAGAACAATAATATCAACCAACCAGAGTTCCCAGGGCCTAAACCACCAATCAAAGAGTACACATGAGGGAGCCATGGCTCCAGCAGCATATGTAGCAGAGGATGGCCGTCTCAGGCATCAATGGGAGGAGAGGCCCTTGGTCCTGTGAAGGCTCCATGCCCCAGAGTATGGGAATTTGAGGGCAGGAGTGAGTGGGTAGATGAGGGAATACCCTCATAGAAGCGGGGGGTGGGGGGGAGATGAGATAGGGGGGTTAGGGGGTGGGAACTGGGATAGGGAATAACATTTGAAATGTAAATTAAAAAAATAACCAATTAAAAAAAGGTGGGGGGAAAAAAGAAACTCAGGATGAAGCCTGGGGCTAAATTTCTGTGTCTGGGGATGCAGCATGCCTGATTAATGCTCCTGCCTCTGGGATGGCAATGATGAGACAGACTAGCTCTGACAGTCCCAGAGTCTGTAAAGGTAAAGGCAGGTTGTTGGCATGGTAGTCACAGTTACAGACAGATAATCAGAAGAAGTCAGTCATCTTAATTTGCTATTACCTTCTATCATTTTTATCCTGGATTCTATGGATACAGAGGAGCACAGATTTTGATGAGTAGGCACCAAGTTCATGGAGAGGGATGTGTATCATGGCAACATTGGATCATAGCATATGCTATGGTTATCATTTGATTATGTCTCCAGATTTAACATGTTGTAAATTAATCTGCAGATTAGCCCTGTGTAAAGCTAGAAGCTTTAGGAAGTGAGAGTGTGTGTGGCCGTGTATATGCTGGTGTGTTCACATTAAATATACCCCTGTCATTCTAATAACCACTTCTCTCTTCCTGAGTCATGCTCAATGTGAGGAAGGCCATTTATTTAGCTGTTAATATTTCATTTCGGGAAATTTGTTTTTTTTTTCTTCAGAAATTGCTTCATCATGAGAAATCTGAAGTTGCATCAGACCCTGGAATTTAGGGACATTCAGGCACCAGGGAAACCTCAGTGTTTCTGTCTGCGAGCTGAACAGGGGACGGTGCTGATTGGCTCAGAACGTGGACTGACAGAAGTAGATCCTGTGAGAAGAGAAGTAGGTCACTGATGTAGATGCCTGCTCCTGCCTTGGTCCTGCACTTGCAGTTGTGTTCTTCCTCCCCACTAGTCCCCTTTAGATCCAGAGTAATTCAGATACTCCTGAATAGTCGTTCTCTTTGCCTCGTGTAGATGGCTTACTAGAGAATTTAAAAATAGTAGCCAACTTTTAATTCTGCTGATTTTGTAAGCTAAGTTGACAAAGCTCTGACCATATATTTTATGTGGGTACCTCACATTTCACCTCGCCTGATTGTACTGTATTAGTAATCGATTAGGGCTCTGTGTGGATATGTCCATAGAGGTTGTACATTTTACCTGTTTTGTGGTGCTGTGATTGGAAACACCTTACCTGATTTGGGCTTCTAACACAGACTGGCTAAACTCCCAGTCCTCAGTGCTAGATCTGAATGGATATGTCTGAATGTTGTAGGGTGATTCTGATATGTTCCCTTGATTATTTTTTTGCTACTCATATTTTGTTTAAGTGATTGATTGTTGTTGCATACATTGTAGAAATGATAGGCAACTGCAGTTAGGGGGTTAGACATATTCAAAAGTAGTAAAGGCCCTGAGTTTGATCGTCCATTGGAGAACAAATGTGAATAAAGGATGAGTGCTGTCAGTAGCTGCATTTTTTTTTTCCTTAAGATACTGATTTTTTTTTTTAATCAAATCGTAATTTTTACTTATTCGCACAGGGGTTATAAACACAAAAAGGCAGGATGTGGGAAAGGGGGTGACACCAGACCGTAGGTGTTCAGGGGGAGTACAGATATCTTTCAGAACAGGGTATTGGCTGGGTGAAGGTTCAGGGGACAGGTTGCTATGACTTTGCCTATGATTCACTTGTCCTTATCTAAGTTGATACTATCCGCCAAGGCTACCTATTTACAAGGTCTATGACTACTCAGGCTGGTAAATTTCCAAAAAAGCTGCCTGTTTACAATAGCTTATAGCCATCTGTTTCAGTGTTTTTCCACAGAGACCCAAGACTTGGTGTTAGTACACATATATGACAGGCCTATTGCTGATTTTAAGCCTATGGCTGATTTTAGGCTTTCAATGTGTATGCAGGGCTGCCCCTGACATCTCCTCCCTTCTCCAAGTATAGAAAGGCCGTGGCAATTTTAATCTTTCAAAGGTGGGGATAGAGGCCTGACCTCCAGTAATTGAAGGGGACCTTGTAATGATTCTGGTCCTCCTGTCGTTGTCCAGTGAGGCATCAGAGCCATGCCCATCCCGGTGTATTTTTCCTGGAGAGGGGCTACTTTTGACATCAATCCCTATGCAGTCAGGCTTGTCCCTCAGGGAACCCAGAGAGATATTTTTAACAGTAGCTGCATTTTTATAGGGTATTTTTAAACAGAGCATACTTGTGTTTTTGTTGTTTGTTTTTTTTTTTTCTTTTAATTTTTTTTTTTTTTTTTTTTTTGCAAAAAGAATTTATTATGTATTGTCCTTGTTAAAAGACAATAGAGTTGTAATATTTCTAAAATGAAAGTTTGGGTTTTAATCTAGGGAAAATCCTCGCATGAAAAATTTATGTTATTAAAGAATCATTAAGGTCCGAGGAGATGGACAACGGTTAAGAGTCCTGGCCACTCTTAAAGTGAATCCCAGTTCAGTTCCCAGTACCCATGTGGCAGCTTACAACCATCTACAACTCCAGTTCCAGGGAATCCCACACTCTCAACGGGCCTCCGACGGCACCAGGTGCACACACATATGGTCCACATGCATACATTCAGGCAAAATACCCATACACATAAAATAAAAACAAGTAAATCTTATATATAAAAAGAATTATTAGGAACATTTTATTTCTGGAACTCAGATGGCTCTTGAATGTAAACACTGATTTGCTTACGTGTGTTTTGTGAAAGGTGAAGT